ATCTGATATTATTTTCTTCCTCCTGAAGAATATTCTTTAACATTTCTTGTAGTAAATATAGGTTGATCCAAAAGAAATTCTGCCTCACACAATATCTGGGATATGACAGGTCCACCCTTTCTGTCTGTAACACATCTTCCTCCCTTGTCCATCTAAAATTACTCTGACATTCATTCAATTTACAGGAAAAAATAGCGCCATGAAAATGTTCTTCCTTATGTCTGTGTTATGTATTTTTAAATATGTAATTGAATTTTAAGGGGGACTAGGGATAAATATAAATGTTCATTTTGATGGGAAAAAATATGATCACGTGAAATGAAATTATAGAGATATCTCAGTTAAATTTGGTTATTTTGTACAAAATTATCAAAAAGTGATGTGATGATGTATGCTACTGGGAAGACTGCCTGGAGCACACTTAAATGTCCATAAACTAGTTTGTCTCCTCAATGTGCAAGAGTGGTCAGGCCCCAAGAAGTTGACTCACACTACCTGAAAGGCTTGCAGACTGAGGTGGCTACCAGTCTGTCAAGTTGTTCTTTGCAGTGAGAATTGCGATTGCTGCGTGTCTATAAAACTCACATCAGTATGATCGGTCCTTTTTCTTATTTCTGTGGGAATACAATTCACAAAATCTGAAGGATGCTTTCTGAGTGTGGAATCAGAACAAGGAGAGTTAAATATGTTTCTAATGTAATGGCTTCATGATATTAGTCATGGCCTTTTGTGACCATTAATTCAACAATATTTGTTGAGTGCCTGCTATGCAGCCAGTACTGTTACGGGACGTAGGAATAAAGCAATGAAAAACACAAAGTCCCTTCTCTCATGGCACTTACCTTATCATATAGACGGTCTGGCTAATGGGTGTAAAATATTAGCATCTTTTTTCTATACACACTAAAACTGGAAACCTGAAATACTCCAGCTTCCTTCTTCTTGGGCATTGCTTGGAAAGGTACTGACAGCACGTGCTACTGTGAATTTAGATGTGTGAATTCATTCGGGCCTGAATGTCCTTCTATTTCTTTAAGGTTCCTTGGCTACCTCTGCCCTGATGAGGTGGATTCACCTCTTCACTCTAAAGACAGTTTGATGTTCTTTATTTACAGTCTTTGAGGTTCAATTATCTGTAGCCCCAAGGACTGAAAACGTTTGTGTTTGATACATACGTAAGCTGGAGGTACAGTCTGGTGTGGGGAAAACAACATGAGCTTTGAAGCCAGCTTCCGTTTGGATTCTTGCTCCAGCAATTCCTAGTTCCATATTCTTTGGCAAGTTAGCAACCAACCCTCTATTTATTGCTTTAAAAAAAACAGTACAAATAATATATGCATACATTTTTATTGTTAATATTCAAACTTCGTTGTGTTGTTTTAGTGATTACTTTAAGGTTTATATTATACACATTTAATACATCACAGTGATAACATATTAAAACACTACTTCATGTATGTATAATAATTTGACAATAATATACTTGCATTTCTCCATTTCTGGACTTTATATTATTATTGCCATACATTTAACTTGTACATATGTTATAAGGCTCATACAACATTATTACAATTTTTGTTTAAACAGTCGATTCTCATATAAAGAGATTTAAATACTAAGGAAAAATCTTATGCTTTTACAATGCAGTTACCATTCCATGTGCTCTTCCTTCTTTTATGCAGATCCAGATTCACACCTGACATTCTCCTGTGCTCAAAGGGTGTCCTTTAACATTTCTTATAGTAAAAATAGGTTGATGACGAGTTATTTCAGAGTTTTTGTCTTAAAAAGACATAATTTGGCTTTCACTTTTGAAAGATATTTTTACTAGGTATACCATGATCTAATTTGACTGCTTTTTTTTCCCATTCGGTCATTCAAAGATGTTGATTTAGCATCTTGCCTCCATAGTTTTCAATAAGAAGTTTGTTGCCATTCCTACCTTTTCCCTCTGTAGCTAATATGCCTTCATTCTTGAAGAGTTTCCCCCTTTATCACTGTGGTTTTTTAGCTATTATAACAGGCCTTTGTGCTGTTTTCTTTATGTTCCATCTGTCTGGGGTTCCTTGATTTTCTTGGATCTATAAGTGTATAATTTCCCTCAAATTGGAAATTTTTTCAATTATTATTTCTTCAGATGTTTTTCCTGACCTATAGTCCCTGCTTCTCAGAACTCCATTTGCACATATATTATGAAGCTTGGAGTTGTACAGCCCATTGATGTTTTGCTTATATATTAAATTTTTAAATTTTTTCTTGTATTTTATTTTGAATAGTTCTTTTATGTGTTTAAGTTCACAAATCCTTTCTTCTGCAGTGTCTAAATTTCCATAATCCAGCCCACTGTATTTTTAATTGTAAGACATTCAGTTTCATTCTTTTATATTTTCCATCTCTCTACTTAACTTTTTGAACACACAGAATACAGTTATATAATTGTTTTAGTATAAATTATAATTGTTTTAGTTCTAATTTTAACATCTGTGTCAGTACTAGATCAGTTTCAATCGATTTATTTTCCTTATCATGGGTCATATTTTCCTACTTCTTTGTATGCCTAGACATTGATTATCAAACATTGTGAATTTTGTTTTGTTGGGTGCTGGATATTTTTGGATGCCTATAAATATTCTTAAGCTTTTTTGGGAGGAGAGGGAAGTTGAGATGCAGTTAACCTAGCTTTATTCTTCCAGATCTTGTCCTTAAGATTGTTAGGCAGTACCAGAGCAGTGCTCCACCTAGAGGCAATTATTCCAATCTACTTAGACAAGACCCTTTTGAGTTATCGAAGAGGACCACATGAATCAGGTTTTTCCAGTCTGGCCTGTGGGTATAGGTGCTATTCCTGGCTTTTGTGAATACTGGGCACTGCACTACTCCTTCCAATGTTTTCCCCCAGCTTCTCTCTCCAATTTAGGGAAGAGGAATTTCTATTTTGTATTCCCCAGAGTCTAGAACAGTGCTCTCAAATTTTGACTGATCAATATCAGCCTCAAAAAGGTGGTACAGAAGAGGGTTCATTCTGGAATAAGTGCTCCTCCTTTGGGATCTCACAACAGCCTGTATCAAACATACAATTTCATCTTGAAATTGTATATTTGATAGATTTTATGAGGGCAGAGACTGAGTCCGTCTTGTTCAATGTCATTTCCCCAGCACTGAGTACAATAGGAGTATAAGTAATTGTGAAATATGAATTCTGAATTCTTCATTCTCCTTCCAAACTGCTTGGTGAGAAAATGGGTCTTTAAACAAGTCGCAGAGTTGCAGACCTCTACTACAGTGAATTTTAAAGAGATCAGGCTGCAGGAGTTCACCTGACTGTGAGGTTATAGTCCTATCCTGGCAGGTCAGATCGAGCCTAGACACTCATGTGTCTGTTTCACATAAAACCAACTAACTGGGAACATCATATGGGCTATGTATGGGGAGGTGTCAGACTACTCTAAAGGTCTTAGGGCATATTTGAATTCTGTGCAGGCTTTTCCTTCCTTCTATAGCTATTTAGTGCTACTGATGCCTGTCACCAAGCCAAAAAGCTCAGTGCAGTGTTGTCAGAGCTACTGTTCACATAGTATTTTGTGTTATGGTCTAGGAGGCATTTGATATCATGTATTTCCAGACAGTACTACCAGTGTTCCCATCCCAGTCTGGTCAGTGGGAATCGGCCATATCAAATGAAAGGCATCTCTATTCTATAGTCTCTTTTGACTATCTGACCATGTGCATCTTTCTAAACTTGGCTTTAAACTAAATTCAACATTTTAGAATATGTACTCTGTGGCAGGAGTTCCAGTTACCATTGGGACTGGTCATTTGATAAGCCCTTTAACAACAGAAAGTGCACTCCTCAGGGTGGCCTAAGGATGAAATAATATGTTGTTTCTGAGCACTGGATCTCCCTTGTTACAAACCTTTCTCTCCATCTTCTGCCATCACATTCATAGTACAGTTAATCTTATGCCCTGAGCACGAACAATAGTGAGATGGAAAAATTGAGTATGGGAAGTATATTCATTCATTCCATTAATTAATTGAATCATTCATGTTTAATATTTATTGAGCACCTACTATGTGTCAGACACCATGCTGAAATGTTAGTAGTATAAAGACTAGTAGATTCAGTAGCATGTTAGTAGTTTAAAGACTAGCAGATTCAGCCTTTGTCCTTAAAGAGAATTCAGTCTTGTGCTGGAGGCAGGCAAGTGAACAGTTACAATAATGTGAGTGAGGGATGCTAAGGTAGAAGAATACAGAATAAGGTCAGTATCTAATTTCTTGGGAGGACATAAATTCTTTGAGAGAAATGGTGTTTATTTTTCACAGTTCCTAACACATATTTTGTAGAAGGTGAGCACTCCATAGTGTCAAAAACACCTGGATTCTGGTTTAAGATTTTTTTTTTTTTGGACTTGCTGTGTATCCTTAGACAGTCATTTCAGCTTTCGGAGTCTCACTTTCCCATCGAAGAAATATAACTGATGACACCAGTCCAGCCTACCTCACTGGGTTATTGTGAAGATAACGGTCATGAGAGTGACTTTTTAACTAATTGTAAGATCTCTAGAAAATAAAATATGGAATCTTAAGTTGCATTCTTAAATATTTTTTGAATTTAAAAATAGTTGTTCGGAGGAAGGAGGAAAAAAAGGAAAGGCAAGGGGAAAAAAAGGAAAGGAAAAAATCCAGCAGGTTAGGGCCCCTAACTGTAGCCACCTTCACAGTTGAGAGCACACTCCAGAAAGCTATTTACTAATATTTTCATTTTACAAATGACAGGCTTGAAGGGCCAAAGTATTTATCCACGAGCACAATCTCTTCAAAGCTCAAGCCTGGACAACTTCCCAACGTCTTTAGACTGCAACAAAAGTCAAAGGACTCGGCCACAGGGCCTGCAGACACCTCCGGTCTGGAAGCTCGAGAACCGGAAGAACCGGACTAGGCTTCAACTCCGCCCTTGATGCACACTCCCGCCCCCTGGCTTTCCACCTCTCGCGGGAACTCTCGGGAGAACGCAAAGGGTCACGTCCCATCATGGCGGCTGAGGAGGCGGATGTGGATATCGAAGGGGACGTGGTGGCTGCGGCGGCACAGCCCGGGTGAGGCACCGAGACCGTGGCGCGGAGGAGGACGTGTGCGCGGGGAGTAACCTAGGAGGGCCGCGGGCGTGTCAACGGACAGGGAAGCGGAAGAACCTCCGGTGGCTCACGGGATCCTGGCTGCGGGAGAGGGGCCGCGCCCATCCCGCCAGCCCGCTATTCCTGAGCCCAGCAGCGGGGTACCCAAGGCTAAGGTCGGAACGCCCTTTCATCGGGATGTCGTGAGGGCCCCGACTTAGCCTAGCAACTACACTCTCCCCAACAAATAGCTTCCTTCCATTACCTCCACTTCAAAATCCACCCCTCGTAGTAACTACCACCAAGGAGGCCCCTGGACGGGACCGGGGCATCTTATTCCATTGCAAGCCTTGAGACTTTGGGCTTGTCGTTTCATTCCTATTGGCCAAAGGTTTCCTCCTCCACAAAGGGATAGTTGTGAAAAACTTCCTGAGAGGCAGCTTGACTTGAATGATCAGGGTAGGACTTTGGTTGGACAGCTCTGGCTTCTGCATTGGCTGGCCCTGCGGGTTACTAGCAGTGTGACCTTGGGTCAGACCTTTAACTTGTCTCAGCCTCTGACAGCTCATGTGTAAACTGACAATCATGATATGTACCTCATACGGTTATTGTGAAGAACAGGTGAAATAATTAGGGATGCATTTTTGTATGTGGAAAGCGTTCTGTAAATGTGTTCTTTATCATCCCGTTACTCTCAGGTGCGGAGTCAACCGTAACTGGCCAATGTGGTTTTTAAACAGCACCTTCCAGCTTGAGAGATTTAGCTCTTTGACTCCTTGCCTTCCCAGTAAGAAATTGATAGGTACCATTTTTAAAATGTGGTTCCAGAATCTTCTTTTAGTCATGGACGAGACCTAGACTGATGAGGAATCAAAAGACTTTGGTTCCATCTCAGCCAGTAATGTTACTTGTAACTGGAAAAACTTCAGTAGAACTTGAGTAGGTTGAACCATGTGAAATTTCCAACCTTAGACCATTTTTGCCCTATAAAGCGGCAATTTCCTATGGTCCAACCTAACATTAGGGCCTCTGGAAATGGTGAAAAAGAATACTAACCCTCTCCATGGGGGACAAAGATGGCTTAAAGCACTCATGAACTCTAAAGCATTGTAAAAATGGGTGGAGTAATTGTCCTCGACCTCAGTATGGCTCAGCTGGTTGGAGCCTCATCCTGTAGCTAACGGTTGCAGGTTCGATTCCTGGTTGAGGGACATACTGTATTTTGCCATGTATAATGTGCACCCACGTTTTTGGCCCAAACTTTCAGGGAAAAAAATCTTTTGTTTTAATTTTAAATTCAATTTTTTATTTATATAAAACGATGATTGTATTCCAGGGTATTATTTTCCATGTAGTTATTGTTATTGCTTTCTGGAGTTATACTTTTAATGCATAAGCATAAATAAAATAATTAAAAACACATACAGATATGGAATTAGTACTACCCATGTATAATGCACATCCTTATTTTTCCCCTCAAAAATTTGGGCAAAAATGTGCATGTTACACATAGCAAAATACAGTGCTTGGGTTGCAGGTTTGATCCCCAATTCCCATCTTGGGTAAGGGTCAGGGGAGGCATCCAGGTGCTTCTCTCTCACATCAATGTTTTTCAGTCTCCCTGTCCCTCTAAAAACCAGTGAAAAAAAAGCGAATGGAGTAATTAAATTCATATATGGTCATTTTTCCCAAAAATCCTTAAGCAAAGCAGTCCAAAGCTATACAAAATGAGTAGAGAGCCTAAATAACAATCATTGTTCCCATTTGTGTAGGTCAAGTTAATCTTGACTAAGCACTTTTGCATGCAACACTAAAGATCATCTGAGAACATTGGCTCTAACTCTTTTCCGTAGGTTCTTCATTATTTTTCTGATTGTATGTAATTTTTCTCCCTTTTCTCTTTTTCTTTCCTTTCTCTTTTTGCTCTGTGTGAGCCTTAGGTACCAATGGCAGCTATTAGCATCTTAGTTTTATGCAGGGAAGATAACAGGTTCTTGCTGGTCAGAGTCATTGCCTTACCAACTCCGAGGAGTATCAGTAACATTATCTTCTGGGGAATAGTACCCCCGACATGATTTTCAGCTTTACAGTGGTGCATAAACAATACACATTCAGTAGAAATCATACCTTGAATTTTGAATTCTGACCTTTTCCCAGGCTAGTGATATGCAGGTATGATACTCTCTTAAGATTCTGGGCATTGGTGGCAAGCCACAGATCCTAGTCAGGCACTGGATCACAAGGGTAAACAACAGATGCTCCACAGTGAACTGTCTTGTTAGTGATTTTGGATATTGTGTTCTGAGCACATTTAAGGCTAAGCTGTGGTGTTTGTTAGGTGTATTCAGTGCATTTTTTTTGACTTAGGAGATTTTCAGCTCTGTTGACTTTATCAGGACATACCAGTGTCTGTTTAGAAAAGGACGAAAATCCTTTTAACATGGAAGATTTACTAGACTCAATAGTATTAGAACATGAATTAAAAGTTTATCATATAACCTAAAATCCGAGAGTACACTGAGTTAATTATTTTATCTGCTTTTAGTATTATGCTAATTTTAAATGAACTGCTACTGGAACAATTGTGTCTTGCAGGTTACACTAAACTTCCTTTTAAATGGTTTGACCACCTCAGGGAAACTGGCTCCACTGCAGCATCAGTAAAACTCCATCATAAGTCAAGGAGCATTTGTACTTACTAAGTCTCAGTACCAGAGCTGGAAGATGGCATTGAAACTTTTTGATTTCCCCTCTACTTCTCTGTCCCCATTTCTTCTCATCCTTCACATTTTCACTTGTCCTTTAAATCATAATGTTCCCAGGCGTTTTGTCATAAGACTACTATTCAGTAATACATAGTCTCTGGTGATATTGTAACTCAAGACTTAAATTTCTATCTGTTGGGTTGGACAATAGGAAATTTTGTCAATATTTGACCACTTTTGTAGTTTCATAAGTTAACCTAATACGTACATGTTGATGTTTCCCAAATCTGCTGCCAACCCAAATCTCTCCTGAGCTTCAGATCCATTCATCCAGCTTTCTGAATCTGTTTGCCCTTGGATGTTCCACATGGACCTCAATCTCACCTTATAAACTTCTCCCACCAAACCTGCCTCTCTGGGTTCCCTAGTCCAATAAATGGCACCCAAGGAACAGACCCGCATGCACCCTTTTCCTTACTTCTCTCCTTCCACTCCTTCCATTCCTTCATTTAGTTACGAAGGGTCTGTTGATTCTAAGTATCCTCTTAAATGCCTTTACTTCTTCCTACTTACACTGCTTGTTCCCTACATCTGAGTAACTGTCATCTTTTTCTGGCATTTATGCCATCACTCCCTCTTAGCTGCTCCTTGTCTCTTTGGCTTCTTCTACTCTTCCCTGAAGTTAGAGCATTCTTTCTTACATCCAGATCAGATCACGTTATTTTCTTCAAACCCCAATTGGCTTTGTGATAAAGTTTTCTGCATTCCTTAACTTCTAGAGACCTGTGTGACCCATACCTCGCCTACCTCATTCATTCATTCATTCATTCATTCATTCATTCATTCATTCAAGAAATACTTGTTGAGCACCTTTTATATGCAAAGCTCTGGGTAGATCAGTTACCAAAACTAAGTCCTTGCTGTCATACAACTAACATTCTTATTAGATGAGGTAGACAATAAACCTCTATACGTCAGATGGAGATAAGTGGAAAAGATAAAGGTAGAAGGTGGATGACTTGTCAACTGTATCCTTTGCAGTTAACCAGGGAAAATTATAAGGCCTTACACTGCAGGACCTCAAAGGTCAGTGTGGATGTAGTGTAAGAAGAACTGGATTTGGAAAAGGGAAACGCAAAAGAATTGGCAACAAATTGAATGTATTAATACATTGTGAGAAAATAAAGGCAGGCACAGGTTTCCAGCTTGGCCCTCTAGGGCACTGCTGTCAAACTCATTTTCACCTGGGGCCACATCAGCCTTGTGGTTGCCTTCAAAGGGCTGAAATAATTTTAGGACTGTATGAATGTAACTTCTCCTTAACTGTTAAGGAGTTGAAATTACATTCGTCCCTTTGAAGGCAACCAGCCATGAGGCTGGTGTGGCCCCCGGTGAAAATGAGTTTGATACCCCTGCTCCAGAGGAATGGAGATGCCAAAGACTGAGATAGGTAACGATGGGAGAGTAGCATATTTGAGAGGAAAGGTGAACTCAGTTTTACACATGTTGATATGTGGTACCTGTGGAGATTCAGGTAGGTGTCCAGATATATATACACCAGAGTTGTGGATGTGGCTAATCCCTATTGAGGGATACTATGTAAGAAGATTTCTAAAGGAAGCTTGAAGTGATACCAGTCTCACCTCCTGCACTCTGGGCAGACCTAGGTAGTTAAGTAAAGGTTTCTTTCTACTGATACAAGTCTCAGAACACTTTATTTCACATTTCACATGATTTGGTAGATCCTGCCAAATCAGAGTGGACACTTGAGTTAAACCTTTTTGCCATCAATAGTTGAGAGACATTATTGCTTTTATTTTATTGTAGATAGTCTGTTAGCCCCACAATTCATTATAACCACTGTGGGACTAAGTGAAGATTCAAAAATATAAATGGGTAGATAGATTTTTTTCAGTTTAGTAGGTACAAATTCTTAGCACTACACTAGGTCTGGGAAAAGTCAATAATTTAACTAGGAAATGATATAACTTCAGGACATACAAAAGCAAATACTAAATTATATCATAGATTGGGCCTCTCAAAACTTAAGTATTTAGCTATTCAGCCTTTTTGCATATGAAGTGAACATGTGACTTTAGGGAGTTCTTACTAGTTTAATGAAAGGAGTGAATTAGCATAGTTTAATTCCCTATGGACATAGAAAAGAGCCCCAATAAGCCCCAAATTAATTTGTTAAATTATGAGTTGTTATTAAAACATCACACTTTCTTGTATCTTCATTGTACCACCCTTCCTCAAGTACGTTATATTTTGGTTCTTCTACTCTTGGGTTTGTTTGTTTTCTTTTCCATTGTAAGGGTGGTGCTATTTATTAATGGTAGCTTTTATGCTTTAGATAGAGCTAAAAGAATTAATTGTTAAGTTAAATGTCTACATACACATGGATATTCCTTAAAAGAAATCTGAAGTGTTGATTCATGGCCATAGAGCATGTGTGGTTGCTGCTTTGGGGTATTTTTTTCCTCACGAAGTTGTTTATTCTTAGGAAACAAAAGAAGTGAACACAGTTGATGTTTAGCAATTAAAATATATAGCTACTATATAGTTACAGACCAAAGAGGTAGAGCAGGCATTTCTGCAACGTTAAATCTGTTTGTTAAGGGGAGGAGGGAACTAAATATTTGGTTAAATCTCAACCTGCCAGTCACTGCTGTGTAGATTGTATATATTAACTGGTATAATATTGTGTATATTAACTGGTATAATATCACTTTTATACCTGTTTTCTTAATTATTATAGAAGCAATGAGAATACAGCATCTGTTTTACAAGATCACTATCTCGATTCATCATGGAGAACTGAGAATAGTCTAATTGTAAGTATTTTATGAAAATACCAAGTATATTAAACTATTACTTATTATCCAGAGTACCTTTTTTTTTTTTTCCAATTTGGTGCTAGTTCTCAGCACTCACAGAGGTAATTGTATTAAAACATTTTTCTTACTGTAAAAAAAGCAAAAACTTATTCCTTTTGATTTTGAAAAATGTCCTGTTGAAAAACAACTCTGGATCCTGCTGGATTTAGATTCAGATCCTTGCTCTATCACTTACCAGATTTGGGAACCTCAGTTTTATCATCTGAACTGTGGGGAACATTGCAGGGATCATGTCCTCATTTAGCAGTTACTTATTGAGTACTTAGTATGTGTCAGATACTAAAGTAGATTTGGGGGTTACGCTATAATCAAGACATGGTTTTGTTCTCAAGGAGCTTGTGGTCTAAAGGAGAGTCAGCTGATAAACAAGTAGACAGACTATATAAATCATAAAGGACATTAGATGCTGACTGGGAGTAACAGGATGAGGAACGTACTTTAGATAAAGCTGTCAGTGAAGGAAACTGAGGAGGTGACATTTAAGTTGAAAAGTAATGGAAAGAGAGGAGTAGATAAGTGAAGAGTTGAGGAAAAGCATTTTAGGCAGAAGGAATAGCAGCACAAAGACTCTGGTTGGAAGCCAGTGTCTAAAATCTGATAAGGGGGGATGACAGCTATGACAAGGTTGAAGAGGCAGATGAGAGCTCCATCCCATCATATTTGCAGGAAGCAAGAGTGGAGTCAAGGTACCAGTTAGGAAACATTTGAGTAATCTAAGCAAGATTTGGTGGTAGCTTGGCCTGAGGTTGTGGCAGAAGAGATAGAAATGGACAAATTTAATTAAATTACATTTTGAGCCCTGACCTGTGTGCCTTAACTGGTTGGGCATCGTCTCACAAACCAGAAGGTCACAGGTTGAATTCCCAGTCAGGGCACATGTCTTGGTTGTGGTTCCATCCCTGGTTGGGGTGCTTACGAGAGGCAACCTATCGATGTTTCTCTCCCTGTCTTTGTCTCTACCTTCCCCTCTCTAATAAATAATAAATAAATTTTTTAGAACAAAATCTATTTTGAATGTAGAGCTGCTTGGTAGATTGGATATGGGACTGAGAGAAAAGGAAGGAATCCAGGATGAATCTTGGGTTTCTAGCTAAAATAACTTGGTGACACATAGTGCCATTTACAAAACTGGGAAGGCTGGGGAAGAAGCAGGTGAAGGAAGGTATGGATGGTGAGTCATATTTTAAATGTTAAATTCAAGAAGCCTACTAGATACCTAAGTGGAAATTTTGAGGGGGCAGTTGGAAGTAACAGTCTAGATAGAGCCTTGGAGAACAGACCTGAACTGAAAATTTTTAAGTTTTGGGAGTTGAAAATGAGTATGATCCATCATTCAAGGAAGGAAAAAAGAATTGTGAGTTTCAGAAATAGGTGAAGTATCTAGGAAAAGGGTGATCACTATCAGTGTTTCATACATGATAGCCATTACTACTTTATCATAGATAGGAGCTTGAGCCTTGGGATCTAACAGACTTGTGTGTCAAGTTTCTGCTCTCCCACTTGAAATGCTGGCAGTGCTGTGGGTGTAATAGTGCCTGTCTCGTAGAGCTATAGTGGCAATCAAAGGTACGTCGTCATGCTCTGGAAATGATAGCTGTTCCTATTGGTAATCATATCATGTATTTTCATTTAGCAAAATATAGAACATAATTTTAAGAAGTAGTAAATAAAAAGAAAAATATATTCTCTTTTGTAATAGCCTTGGACTCTGGATAACACCATCAGTGAAGAGAACAGAGCTGTCATTGAGAAGATGTTGTTGGAAGAAGAGTATCCTTTAATGATTATGAGGAAAGAAAAGATTTCAGGGTTAAAAGCCTCTAAATGCAAAACTTACAAATGAGACCACTGATAATTACTAGATGGATTATTTTTGGCCCCATACTGCTATATAATATGTTACCTACCTATGCAAAAAGCTGCATTTTATTATTCTGGTTCTGTTTCATTGCTAAGTCTGAAATATGACTTAATATTTTTTAGTTTCTGTTGTCAGCCAACTCTTTATACTGTCTGAATATTGATTTGAAATTAAAGAATGTTTTAAGTTAGCTAGATCTTTAGTCCAAGGTCATGTAGTCCAGTTCTCCATTTTCAGTTATATAAATTGAAATTCAGAGATGCTGATTTGTTCAAGGACACAGAACTAGAATATGTAAAATTTCTCACTTTTTACTCTACCAACTTAACAGGTGTTATGTGAGAGGAATCTAAGGAAAAAACACAGAACAAATACAAGAGGATAAAGATGTTTTTCCTCCGAGCAGTTGTGGCTTCTTATCCATGGTTCAGCCACTAGCTTCTTGTCCACATTTCTTTCACGTGTGTATGTTGTTGGCATCTTAACTCTTTCGGGACTCAGTTTTCTTATATGTAGACTGAGAGGATTTAAACAAAATTATTTCTGATTTTTTGATTTATAAAGATTATTAATAATAGTCTAGTGAGTAGCATTTTAGTTTTAATTCTTTCATCTATATTTCATGGATTTCTACCTCCTTTTAAGCCACAATTTTTCTATTCCTTTTATTCCCAATTATTGCTATGTTGATTTCAGAGTGTCTCTGTACCTTTAATCATCATAGGTTAACCCTCTTTAGGCTTTCTTACCCTCCAGCCCTCCTCACACATTATAGCCTGTATCATTGCTTTTAATGGAAAAATAGTGTGAGTAGCATATTTAAATATTTAATAGCCTCGTTTAAAACAGATGAAATTAATTTTAATGATATACTTTATTTAACCCAGTATATTGAAAATGTTATTTAAACATTTAATCAACATAAAAACATAATTGAGATCTTTTACATTCTTTGTTTCATACTCTTTGAAATTCAGTGTGTATTTTATACTTACAGTACATCTCAGTTGGTGCTAGCCACATTTTAAATATTAAGTAGTTATACATGCGGCTGTGGGCTAATGTATTGAATAAGATAATTCTAGATTAGTGAATACTTAAGTAGTCACTGGTTCACTTCCAAATTTGGGAAAAACATAATGAGAGTAAAAGCAATGTCCGCTCTTAGAGGACACAGATAATATTTTCTTGTTGCTTCGTCTTCAGTACCTAGAACCTCGTGTAGTGCCTGACATAACACGATATACAGTTAATAATTGTTAGTGAAGAATATTTCTGATTAAAAGTATTGCAGAGGCCAGTGTTAAGAAGTTGGAGAAGGCTTTCTGGTAGATTTGACCTGTTTGTTATTTTTATTAAGGTAGAGAGTAACCCTGAATTCTTCTCTTACCTTGAGAAATATGAAAACAATTAGTTGTCCTAAATTACCCTGGACAACCAATTAAATTCATATATTACATTCACCCTGTGTTTTAGGAAAAAAGAACTAAGTAGAACATTGAGGATGTTTCTTCTCTTAGCCACTTGTAAAAGGGAAGGTAAGAGAAACTAGCCTCTATGTAGCACACACTTTATGCAGGCACCATGTTTTAAGATTTTACATATAATATTTAATCCATGTAACAACCCTATGAGGTATAAATAATTTTATCAAAATCTGTACAGACCTGAAAAGAGCTTTGAGAGGAGTTGGTTTAGCTAGGATTCAAGTGTGACTTTCATGAATATATGAGTGCCTACTTTATATGTCACATAAAAGTTTTGACTTTATTATTGTTTTAAAAGTTTCCTTAATAATTACACAGGTATTATTTATCTAAAAAATCACCTCCAGAAAAATTCTGGTTTGATCAAAAGGAAGATGATAAAAAATACACAAAGAGGTAAAAGTCAATATATCATACTTTTAAAAGTCTAAATAATATTTTTAAAAACTTCACATACTTCTTATTTCTTTTTTCATGTGGTGCAGTCCGCAGAAAACAGCAAAAACCATGTATGTACTACATTTTATACTTTAAAATCTTTTTATTATAAGTTGTGGGGAAATTAAAAATTATAGTTGGCCTGTGAAAAAGCCCTCTTGATCTTGAGTTATACAAAAATAAAAAATCAAAATTCCTTGTAGACATATTGAAATGCCCCAAGGTAATTTTATAATGTTATTTGCCAGAATTTTCTTTTGGTTCCATCAAATTATGGAAAAGATAGTGTCCTAGGGATTTGCGGGGAAACTTTTAAAATCTGCTATGTAATATATAAGGAATTAATTTGATTTCTATTGCCCTGGCAGTTAATTTTCAATCACGCCAAACTAAAATTTATTTGAATTTGTAGCTTTCAAAAAATTAAAGAAACTAACAGATTGGCCTAAAAGTCTGTTACATTTTTGCTATAAAATAAAAGACACATTTTTCATTTTTACCAATAATTTGATTGATTTGGATATTTTGAGTATGTCAGCTATCTCCTGTTATTGGCTTGTAGTAGGTAGAGGCCAGGGGTGCTGCTAAACATCTTCCAATGCATAAGATAGCCCCACAGCAAAGAATTATTTGGTCAAGATGTCAATAGTACCAAGATACTTGCAAACCACTTTGATACTTTCTCCATACACTGCACAAATCGTTTTTTATGTTTCAGTTGTATTTTTATCTTCCTTGAAATGCTAAAACATAACATACTGAAAATGTTGCCTGTTTTCTTCCACTTCAAAATTTAAATGGCTGCACAAAAAATCCACCAATTTTGATGATTTTTTTGTTTTGTTTTAAATGCATGCTGATATGAAAGCTGCCACAAGACAATTTAACAAAATTGTTTCAAATGAAGGTAAAGACAATTGGGCACTTCCATTGTATGGAAAAGACATAATGGACATTTTGGCCATCCCAGTATTAACTTTTATTTAGTGTTTATAAACTTGAATATTTATGGTCCCTTAAAGGGTAAGGGTTACAGATTTGCAGCTGTCAAAGAGTTTGAGCACTGAACAGACTTTGGCTTTTACATTTTGGTGAATAAACAACAAAAAGTGAAGTTAATGAAAAGATTAATGGTTTCCTTTGAATTAAATTAGTGAGCCTCATGACTCTTGATTTCTTCAGATGCTGCAATTTCCAAAACAATAAACGTGATGCCATGGTTTTTTGTTTTTTTTTTTACTTTTCTGGCTTGATGTTCACATGGACTTACATGAAAGAATCAAAGAGATAATGTTTATGGAGCCAATTTAAACTTTTGCATGCCTTTTAGGATTTGGAATTATGTTAACGTCTGCTGCTTAGTGTCCAATAAAAGGAACCCTATTTATTTGTTTTCACACCAACTTCCTTTGATGTCTTTTAGTGTTTTCTTCCCTCAGACCCAAGGATTATGTCTTTTGGGGCTCTTAATCGTCCTGAGCTAAAGAAGTGTATGAGGCAGGGTAAATCCTCCCCCTCATGTAGAGACTGCAGCCTTCTTCTTCTTTCTTTCTTTCTTTCTTTCTTTATTCTGATTGTTAGACTAAGTGTTAAATTTGGTTTGTGGCTATCTGTAATCTTTAGGTGCATGAATATGGAATGTTCCATTTCAGAATTTTTTTTTTTTTTGCAATTCTCTTTTATCCCCTCAGGGTACAATCTCCTACAAAACCAGCCAGTTTCTCAGTAAAGTGGACAATAGAAGAAAAACAGCTGTTTGAACAAGGGCTGGTAAATAAAATGATTTTTGATTTATAGTAAAAAATTCTAGAAGCAAATACTGATAGAATTATAAGGTTAAATTAATTTGTAGAGACCAGAAATTTCTTTTTGATTATAGTGATCATATCTATAGTTCTTCTGTAGTTAGAATGATGATATTTGTAGTGTCGTACAAGAGAATTTAACTCATTTAAGTTACTAAAATATTAAAATAGATTTGGATTAATATTTTGGATAGTTTTTATACTAATAAGACCCACAAATTGAGCTGTCTCTGTTTACATGACACCAACTACCTGGACTAAAAGACAAAATTATTTAGTTATCTGATATTTTCTTTTGAAAAAACAAATGTGTATTTGGAACTGTCCTGGTTGAGTGCATTTGTATTCAGATATTTGGCATTGTGCATACAATCTAAATGTTTTAGTGACTGTAATTGAAGACAGAACATTTCTTTTACGTGAATGTTTCACTGAGGTCTATATAAATGTCTACAAATGGCAGTTACATAATGGAAAAATATGTACCCCAATTTCTAATTATGAAAATAATCTTTAACATAAAGAAACTTAATAAAATATTCAGAATTCTTTTTAACTACTGGTAATAGGTTATATCATTTCTTTTAAGATACATATTACCTAATGTTATGCTAAATTAATTTTGAATTTATATATTACATATATAGAATATTTATATAATTATGTAGGATCCATAAATGCTAATTGAAATATTAATAATGTTTCTACAGATGATAGGAAATAAAATGTGTATTTTTATATTTAGTCATTACCATGGCATTTATATTTTCCGTGATTTTTTTTTTTTAAGATTTAAAAAAATTTATTTTTAGAGAGGGGAAGGGAGGAAGAAAGAGAGAAAGAAAGAAACATTGATATGTGGTTGCCTCTCGTGCACCCCCAGCCAGGGACCTGACCAGAAACCCAGGCATGTGCCCTAAACTGGGAATCAAATGGGTAACTCTGGTGCACAAGCCGGCACTCAGTCCACTGAGTCATACCAGCCAGGGCCGTGATGTTATTATATAAATACCAAAACTATCTTGAAACTTTTATGTCTTCCTGAGATTTTCCTCCTGTGCTGTTATGTTCTTATATTGGTATTTCAGTCTGTTGCATGATTATCATTTACCTAATACAACTTGAACTAACCAGCCATTTACTTAAGATTGCTGACAACTTTGGTGTTTTGCCCCTTACTGAAGACTATATCTATACACACCAATGCAAGTAGGTTGTGAATTTTTTGGTTGTTATTGTTGACATTGGCAGTAGTTATAGGAGCTACATCTGCATGGTTCAAAATTCAAAAGGAACCTAAAGTCATATGGTGTTAAGTCTGACTTGTTTCTCAACCTTTAGTTCTGTATGCCTGAGGCAACCATTTTCATCTGTTTTTTGTGTATCCTTCCAGAGATATTTATCCCTGTATAAGCAAACAGGTATTTATTTATATACATGTATAGATATCTATTTATATATATAAACAAATATTTTAAACTTAGAATGTTTTCCCACAAACATACATGGAACTGTTGGTTGTATTTCACCCTTTTTGACCTTTTGATGTAATTTGCTTATAGACTGATTTTCTCAGGTTTGAGAGAGAGTAATTATGTGGTACCAAATAATGAAGGAAGAGTTTTTCTTCCCTTTCTTGGGCATAGGGCTTTCCCTTTGCTCTGTTTTAAAATTGATGAATGTTTTCTTTGTTCCTCTTGTTATTGTCCCCTTCCTAAGTTTCATGGTGCCCAAGCCTTTATAGTTCCTACTCGTCATACTTCATTAGGATCTTTCCTGTCTCCAAAAGTGTTCCATACTGTCAAGTTGCCTATTTGATTTTTTCCCAAAATAAAGATAACTGATTCTTCAGTAAGTTGATCTCTACTAGGTGTTAGTTAAGATAGACATAAATAATTTATACTTGCTAATAACTTTCCCAGAAGGACTTTCAGTTTTAAGAAATTTTCCATATATCACATTTTCTAAGGAATACCAGAAGTAATTGTATAAATGAAGGTTTATCGTTTGGATCAGAGCTTTAAAGATGACTTGCTACAACAAGTTGTAACTGCCTGGCCTGTAAATTTGCTCTGAGATCAATTTCCCTGAGTTGTAGCAGTGTTTGTTTGTTTGTTTTTCATAGCTGTAAGAATTCTAAAAAATTAGAATTGTTGAGCAACTTTGGGAAATAGAGCATATCTTATATTAGAGATGTTGTAAAGGGGGTTTATGTATGTATCAACTGATAAACTGGATACCTAAAAATCCCTTTTCACTCTAAAATTATATTTATTCCTTTCTGTATTTCACAACACACCAGAGCTCCCTTAGGTTCTTAGTTTTTTCTCATCACAGCTTCAGTGTTGACAGGTGGACAGCCTTCAACAGTAGAGGTGTGTGGGGAGTGTTGGTTTCAGGTCACTTCATTTGTGATTCACTCTTTCTATTTACCCTCACCCGAGGACATGCTTATTGATTTTAGAGAGAGGAGGGAAAAAATCAATCAGATGTCTCTCAGACATGCCCAGACAGGGGACCGGGCCTGTAACCTAGGCAGGTGCCCTGACCCAGTGGGGAATAGAACACACGACCTTTGGGTTTATGGAATGATGCTCCAGCTAACTGAGCCACACTGACCAGGGCAGTGTGATTCACTCTTCTGTCAGTTCGCTGCGATATCTGTGTAGTTAAAGCATCTGCTGTGGTACACATAATGGATATTGTAACAAATGGAATCTGGGTAAAAAGGTATTTTTAAATTAGTGTCAGAACAAACTCAGTTGATTGTATAAATGGAAAGTGCAACCTGCCTCCCTTTCAAATATCTTTTTAAATTATCTTAAGATTTGGAACATCATAATATGAATACATATGGTTAGGAATACAAAAAGTGATGTATCTTTATTTAGCTATGAAAGAAAACTAATTTCAAAACCATTTTGGTCAGTGTCCGTAAGTCCAGATTCCAAAAGAAGAATATGGGCTTTGATTTTTAAGAGTCTTAGCCACATATGAGGCTTCATTGTGTGCTTTAGAAAATAAACATGAGTTATTCTTTTAGTCTGCTTTTATTTTTTTAATGTGGCAGTTCCTTAGAATACTAACAAGTAAGTTCAACAGAAGCAATTTCTTTTCCATTTTGATACAGGCTAAATTTGGCCGAAGGTGGACCAAAATTGCAAAGCTGATTGGAAGTCGTACTGTTTTACAAGTGAAGAGCTATGCCAGACAGTACTTTAAAAATAAGGTAAGCAGAATATAACTATCCTTAATAATAATATTTTAAATAAAATTAGTAAGACAAAGTAGTTTTTAATTCAGGCATTAAAGTCTTAATGTTAAAGTTTTTATGTTGGAAGTATTTTATACCCGTAAAGTACTTTACAGATATTTATCTTCAAAAATCTCAAAGCATATCTTCAGTGTTGTGAGTGTTCCTGTGAAATAGGTATTATGTTATTCTACTTAATTTCTTTTTTTTTTTAAGATTTTATTTATTTATTTTTTTAAGAGAGGGGAAGGGAGGGAGAGAGAGAGAGTAACATCAATGTATGGTTGCTTCTCATGTGGCCTCCACTGGGGACCTGGCCTGCAACCCAGGAATGTGTCCTGACTGGAAATCGAACCTGCAATGCTTTGGTTCGCAGCCCGCGCTCAATCCACTGAGCTATGCCAGCCAGGGTATTCTACCTAATTTCATATGGTGAAATAGAGGAACAAAATAGTAACTGCCCTTTTAAAATGTAGTGGTAAGTACTTTAAAGAAAATTACCATAAAGGTACAATATACCAAAGACATTTACTCAGTTTAATAATGCATTTATCTTACTTTTTCTGCCAATGATTAAATATTAAAATTTTAATATTATGTATGGGGTTTTATCTTCATTTTTAATAAGGTAAAATTGGATGGTCCAGAGAAGAAAACACCAAATCAGAAGAACAGCAGTGATCTTCAGATTCAAAGTGAAGATGAAAGCACACCAGTGTGGGCACCATCAGGTTTAAGGGGACGTGCTGATCCCAACCTGAATGCTGTAAAAATCGAAAAGTTATCTGATGACGAAGAAGTAGACATCACAGATGAGGCAGATGAGATGACTTCTCAAGCGCCCCAGGAGAATCCTAGCAGTGATCTCTTAGTAGACATCCCTAATAGTAAAAGTCATGAAACTTGCCGAGGAGAATTTATCACCTCTGCCAGTCAGGAAGATTCCATTTCTAAATCTTCGAAAGAATATCTTCAGAATTTAAAGCATGGTGAGGTGGAAACACTTCCAAGCTCAGGAATTACATTTTGCACTGAAAAACAGAGCACCAGTGACAAAAAAACAGTTGAATTAAATGATCAGAAATCTAATAAACTGATAAAAAGTTGTGATAAGCATGATGGAAATGGAATAGTAGATGATACCAGGCTGTTGCCTTCTCCAGAGCCTTGTGAAGTTCAGAAAGATTTGAGTGACAATGAAATGCTTTTTCAGTCCTACTGCCAAATAGAGGAGGAGCACCATGAGGAAGAAGAGCTTAAGCCACCAGAACAAGAAGTAGAAATAGATAGAAATATTATTCAAGAAGAAGAGAAACAAGCAATTCCTGAGTTTTTTGAGGGGCGCCAAGCTAAAACACCAGAACGCTATTTGAAAATTAGGAATTACATTTTGGATCAGTGGTAAGGAAAAATTATATTACAGATGCTGTTTTAAAACCAGTGGTACTCTAGAATATTTAAACTAGGCTCATGCAGAATTTAGTATTATACAATGCTAATGATCCAGAGAGCTTTAACATAATATATTTCGATAGGCAAGACTTAAAATTTCTCATAGTGAAACTTTTGTGGAAAGCTTTGGTAAACATTGTCATCTGTAACAATCCATCTCTTTATTCGTTAGTGTTCATTTGTGCATGAGTGTTTGGGCCTGGAAAGGAGAGGGATAGATGATTGCCTTAAAGAGTACTTTTCTTAGGACAGAGTTAGGAAGATACAGAAAGCACTGCTGTTCTGGAAAAGAGGGACAACATGTTTTCTAGTTTATGCCATACTTTGAGTACAAAGAAAGAAAACTGACAGAAGGATAGTGTCATTAAATGTGGCTAAATTGCAAAAACCATTCTCCTAAATAGCTTCCTTAAATGCTGTCACTTTTGAACCTACAGTATAATCTGTTCATTCCTTCGTCCAGCTTCATCGGGAAACAGGAATTTTCTGATATGTGAAGTTCACCCTCTAAATCGTCAGTACCTTTTACTTAAATTGTTTAGTGAGGGACAAGGAACAAACCAAAAAACCTTCCACCTTTGAATTTTTCATAAAAGTTTCAGGCATCATTTAACATTCATAATTGTTACTGCTTCAGCGTTGTATAAGGCCATCTTCACAGAGGGCTTCTGCTGTAACCTAGGAAGATTACCAAAGAAAAACAAGGTTTGGTAATTCAATAACCTTCATTTTGCCCACACAATATTAAGTGATTTGGCTTTTAAGAATAGCAGTACTCTAAAAGAAAGATTTTTGTTCTTGTTCTTGCAGACAGTTGAGATTGCTAAAAGTACAAGTTCTGGGTAAGGGGGGTCAGAGTAAAGAATACTTACAAAGAACGACTGACATTAGCATAGTGCTTTGCAGTTTACAGAAAGTTTTTCTATATCTGATTCCTCACAATAATCATGTAAAATAGGCAGGTGGTGTTTTCTCTATTTGATCCAAGAGTGGTTTAGGGACCTGCCTTTGATTATATAACCAGCCACTGACAGACTTCAGTGCAAGTAATGACTCGATAAATCACTCTGTTATTCCACATTACCTAATTCACACTATTGAAACAGATAAATTGAATCTCTACTGGTATCTAATTTTGATTTTGAAAATAAAAGGATGAATGGCCAAAATTGAAGGACTATATAATCATCCGTGAGTATGTGCTGTTACTGTAATCAAATTTCATCTGTTACTTTGATTTTGGATTCTGTGAGGCAGAATAATTTAGATAGATAATATAAATTATATAGCAGTAGTTTCCTAACATGATTTGCCTTAGTTCATGAAACCACTTAAGTGTTGCTGTTTCAATGGGTGAAAAAGTAGAAATGTTTTGAACAGGAACTCTAGTGTTCTCTTCAGAAATAGAAGAGAGTAATTAGGAACTGAAGTTGTATTGAAAAAAATAGAAGAAAAGTTAATGTTTTAAAAATATAAAGAGGCCTACTAAATTTGTAGCTAAAAGAACCTTTTCATAAAAGCACTTGCAATCAACTCCCTCTTTAGGGGAATTTAATAAAAATAGTAACCAATGCCATTATTGAATGCCTACCAAATGCTGTGCATTGAATTTAAATCATCTCCAGTTCTCTTGACAGCCTGCCCTCATTTTGCAGGAGAGAAAAGTGAGTTTCAGAGAGCAAAAGGAACTTGTTGCAGGTCCCTTTAGGTGAAAGTGATTTCCAGAGTCTGTATAATCTTGATTCATTATTTTCACACTTCCATGTCGGGGCCTTGTCCTAGACTTTTCATTCTGCCTTGGATGCTTTCCCCTCCAGATCTTGGTGAATCTTGCTTCCTCTGATCAAGGGAAATTAGAGGCCTTCTCTGACTACCCTATCTAAAATAGCTCACATATCTCCTTTCTCTCATTCTTTTACCCTACTTTTAATTTATCTTAATAAAACTTAATACCACTGAAAATATTACATTTTTATTTGTGTATTGTCTTTCTCTTGATTCCCCAATGATAATGCAGGCTCCATGCAAGAATTTTTTTTTTTTTTTGTCTATTTATTGTTAAATCCCTAATGCTTAGAACAATGCTTGGATGCAGATGGCACTCAATTTTTTAGGGAGAAAAGATTGAATGAATGAGTCATCATTATGTCATGAACAGATATTTTGAGAGGCCTTACTATTTGTTCAACACTGTACTTAGATTACTAGGTTCTGCTTAAAACCTTTTGATTTGGATAATCATTGATGACTGCAATTCAGTTTTTAGATTCCTGCAGCTTTTTGGTAGCCATTTATACCATCCTCATTTCTACTTTCTTGCCTTCACTTGCGAAGTTTGTTTTGTTTTCTTTCAAAACATTAGAAATCTCAACTTTTCATTGGAACTTTTGAAACCCTCCCACATCACAAGCTACTTTTTACTTTTCCTGAAGTTCTATAGAATTTATAATTTCAAATTTGGTTTCTGCTTAGAGAAGCCTTCCCTAAGCCCTCTATTTAAAATAGTCTGCTTATTTGTCTCACTGTATCTACTTATCCTCTTTTCTTCCTAGCATTTATTGCTACCTGACAATACAATAGATATTATTCATTAATTTTTCGACTGTCTCCCCCATTAGAATGTAAGGTCAGGAACTTTATACTATTCATCTCTGTATCCTTAGTGCCTAGAATGATGCCTGATACAGAGGATGCAAAATAAATATTTGTAAGATAAAATAAAGATTGAATAAGAAATACCTATGTTATATGATTTATCTGAATACTTGGTTTGTAATCCTATCACTTTTTTTAAAGGTTTTTGTTTGTTTATTTTTAGAGGGAGGGCAAGAGAGGGAGAAAGAGAGGGAGAGAAACATCAATGTGTGGTTGCCTCTCCTGCACCCCCTCCTGGGGACCTGGCCTGCAACCCACGCGTGTGCCCTGACTGGGAATAGAACTTGTGACCCTTTGGTTTGCAGGCCAGCAATCTGCTGAGCCACACCAACCAGGGCTATCACTTCCTTAAGTGCTTTAATTTCTCTGACCTTTTTGTTTCTTATCCCTAAAATGAGAATAGTAAAATCTATCTTGTAGGATTGTTGTGAGGATTAAGGATGTGTAACTCTTGGTACAGCATCTGGCATAAGCACTTAGTAATTAAGTTTTCTATTTTTAAATTATATTGTGCCATCTAACAGGGTACATTAAATAATATTCAGTAAATATGTGTTGTATTATATAAACATCTTATTTTATAACTTTTGGGCATTTCTTAATTCCTTTGGAATCCCCTATAATATCTAGTTCTATTTTCTACTGAGATATCTATTGGCATAATGATTAAAAACTAATATAAAACTTCTAAGTATTTATAAGGTAATTTACAATGAAAAGATAGTATCCAACAAAGTAAAAGTAGATGAACCTAAGTGACATTAAAAATTCAAAAGGTCTAATACTAAATGCTTTCAAAATGTTATTAAACTGCCTTTTTTTTTTAATTCAAAGATTGAGGGTTGAATTTGGATCTGTAGATAAATAAGCTTCTAACTTAAAAGTCCTGGGATAACTGGAATTTATTGAATTTAATATTGGAGAAGAAATAATACTTGTAAAATTGTACTATTCTTGTAAGTTATTGTATCATTTATAGATATTTTATTTCAGGAAAAATGTACACTTGGGTATTATGTATTAGTATTGTATTTACTACACATTTACATATTGCTAGGGGGTGAATTTTTAAGATATTTCAAATATTAAAAGTTTTTCCCAGAAATCTTTTTTTCATGTTTTTATTTATCCAAAATAATTTTACTTCCGTCTCTTAATTAGGGAGACATGCAAACCGAAATACTTAAATAAGACCTCAGTACGTCCTGGCCTGAAGAACTGTGGGGATGTTAATTGTATTGGACGGATTCATACATACCTCGAATTGATAGGAGCAATCAATTTTGGATGTGGTAAAAATAAAAACCCAACAGCATCTTTTACTTGACATTTTTATCCTTACGGCACCCATGAATTTCTTGATGGTTAGAATTCAGGTAGACTTAGGTATATATAGAGAGAGATTCAGAGAGATTCTATAGCATTTTGGAATAAATGTATTAAGCTTTTGCTGTAAAACATTTTGTTGATTAAACTATATTTCCCTTTGACCTACCTATAGTGAAAATTGGTGGTATAATTTTAGAGGAAATATATGCAGTCTTAAGAAGTAGAAATAATTTAAGAATGCAGTTCTTTGTCAAGTAAAAATAAAACTTTTATGAAAACTCTAATAATAGCCCATTTAATTTGCAAATATTGTATTCGTAGTAGAAATACTGTCTAGCAGTGCTTAAATAAAGGAAATAATTTATGAGCCTCTACGTTTAAATGTAATAAAAATGCCAAAATATTTTTCATGGAAGAAAGTTTTTTCACCGTAGTTTTTCTCAAATATAAAAGGTGATGAATATGTATGTTTTTTAATGTATTCTACCCTTTTATTAGATGACACAAACCTTTTGAAGAAAGATAATGCCATAGTTGCAAAGTGATAAGGTAATTAGAACCTTGCAACCCATGGTTTGAGAAGAGTATTCTGTAGTCTGTGTCTGAAAAGACAACTAGCCAGAAAACTTCCTGTCAGAGATGATTTTATTTTATGTAGAGGTAGATAAAATTTATAGTCTGCTTTGAGGTCTTTGTTTTAGTGTCTTTGTTTGCCCAAAGCATTGTATTGGGACTGGCTTTTCTGGAAAACTAAGGTGTCGTAACTTTGTCAACCACCAAACGAAAAATAAAATCATATTTTCTGTGTTAGACTTCCAAAGTTAGCAAAGTGGAGTAAATAAAAAATTAAATTATCCATTTCCTAAGTATCACATTTTATTGAGATTTCTTTATAATAAATAATAGAATTATTTTTATGTGAGAACTACATGGCATATAAAGTGTGTAACTGGAACAGGATAGAACCATAGAAGCTCTGGTATGAAGAAACTTAGAAATGGCTCACAATGTATAGTCAGCGTAGATGTGTCTTCCTGTCTAACACATGGATTCGTAAAAGAATAGATTGTTTTGTTTTTTCTGAATTCCAACAGAACAGGCTGTGTATAACAGGCCACATCCAGTTGATAAAGTGCGAATCAGAGACAGAAAAGATACAGTGGAAGCATACCAGCTTGCCCAGCGCCTGCAGTCCATGGTAAGCAGTCACCTCTTACCCTCAGTGATTTCTCCACATTGCTCCGTACCCTGCTCAGTAAGGTATATCTTCTCTTCAGCTGTTCAATAAATGGCCATTTAGTGGATGAACATACTGTTTCTTGTATTTACCTTGACATTCACTTTTCTGGTTTCTGTTCAATTTCATATAGGTTTATGAGGCAAACAAACCAAAAAAAATCCTCAAAATTCACCAGCAATCTTTACAGAGAAGCATACTGTTTTGTTAAAATGGCCCGAGGCTGCTTGGTTTCGATTTCGAAACCTAACATTTTTTTAACTATACAGTTAGGCTCTTTTTTTCTCTTTCAGCTATTTTTGTTTAAAATTTTTAAGATAAGGTTCAGCTTTTTAAAATAGCTATCCAAAATATTTTAGCCTTTATTTTTTAAAATTTTATGAATCTTATTTTATAAAAGTGATCCAACAAGTCTCCTAAAAGGCAGAGTCATGCTGTGAACCAATAAAATAGGTTATATTGGTAATAGGTGGGATAAAGTATAGATGACAGAATGGGTATCTTCCTCAGAGTATGTGGGCTGTAAGCCATTTCTACCTAGATAGGCTTTTTTTTAAATTATATTTTATTGATTATGCTCTTACAGTTGTCCTGACTTTCCCCCCTTTTCTCCCTCCACCCAGCACCCCTACTCCCTTAGGCAGTTCCCCCACCCTTGTTCATGTGCACGTGTCATGGGTGTAAGTTCTCCAGCTGCCCTCTTTCCTGTACTGTACTGTACATCCCCGCGGCTATTCTGGAACAGCCTATTTGTACTTCTTACTAGACATGCTCTAAGAAAGGGTGTTTGCAAATACAGTTGGTGGAGATGGTGCTAGTCAGACAGTGGCCTCTGACAGCTAGTCCATTTAAGGGCTTAGAACTCAGGTTTGCAAAACTGGATATTAGTAATGCCGTTACCCAAGTTTGTAATTTTTTACTGTTTGTGTTAACTAAGCATCTTTTCCCTCCTGAGGCTGAGAAGTAACTATGTTGCTTCTAGTTGTCAAACCTTTTGCTGTGTGTTCTTTCAAGTTTTCTACCACAAGTTAATGAACAGGAAATCATTTTCTTGGTGGCTCTTTTTGGTCTTAAAAAATATTTTTTGTCTGAGTGTTTTATCTCCTACATGGTGAAAAGAAATGAAAATTAAAGATATCCAAGTAGAATACTGAAAATAATCACTGATTTTTTTCTGAGCAGAGTGCTAGCTATTGAACATAAATTAATGAAATAAAATTCAGTCAGGCACTGCTGATCAGGGATTAATATTATTTAAATGGAGAAGTTGTTTTTTAGAAAATTATCATTTTGATTTTGTATATTAATATGTTGTGATTTCTCCAAGTTAATCTCATTACCTTTTGCTTTATTTTAATATCATCATAGCGCACAAGGAGACGTAGGGTCCGAGACCCATGGGGAAATTGGTGTGATGCAAAAGACTTAGAAGGACAAACGTTTGAGGTAACTTTGACCTTCTTAAATGGCTGATTAGTGAAAGTTGTTTTGTCAGTACATATTTGGATAACTTAATGTCACAAATATTACACTTTTTGAACATGTATACATGTATCTCTCTTATTTCCATATTAATTGTTTTGTCCAGAAGTCATTGATAAACCACAAAGTAGAAGACATGGTGATTCAGTTAGCTAGAAGTTTTCAGAACCCCTAGTTGGCTCATTTTCAGAACTTTGATTATCTGTTTCTACATTCTGTTCTCTCCCTGAAGAATATTTTCACAGGTGCCAGAAAGTTGGTATGCCCAGTTCATTTCAGTAAACATTGTTGAATGACATTCTAATAATGCCAACTAAGATATTGTCCCAAGCATTAGACATAATACAAATATTGAAGTATCATTTCCACAAATAAAAACTGTGGTCCTAAAAAGAAAATTGACAGTGAATGTGTGTGTAACTCATATACCTACATGCATTCTACATGTATAATTTGTTTGAGAATGACTAGTATAGTAGAATGGTGTCATGAGCAAGGGAGCATCCCCAAAAGGAGCCACACATGCGTATTTGTGTCTTTACACAATGCCAGGTTTATTAGGGGAGCCCTCCCCAATAAGCCAATAGAGTCACAAGCAAGTAAAACCCAGAGAGGGGTTATACACATAGAGTTGAGCAGAGCGAGCGCCTATTGCCAAGTCCTAGTCACCGGCAGTGTCTGCAGGTGGAGACTTATTGTCACCTTCGTCTTGTTCTCACATGCCCTTAAGTGTGACTTTAAAGGAGTATTTTTATTAATTCTACTTATTAGTGGTTGATTGATGGACTTTTGATCAGGTGGCGTTTTATATTTTAGCATCTCTCTGCTGAGGAGTTAGCAAGAAGAAGAGAAGAGGAAAAATGCAAACCTATTAAATCTTCAAAAGTGCAAAGACCAACAAAAAGGTATAATTAACATTATATAAATGTGATTCTTTAACTTATAAATAATTAGAAAATATTAGAAAAATATTTGAAATAGCTTGCATTATAATGTTTACATTAAGTTTAAAAATACAGGTAAAATTTTTGAATTTTGTTTATTTCACTGATTATGAATTTGGAGTACCTTGAGCACAAGTTTTAAATTTTTCAGGTTCAGTGAATATAGGAGGTAAGCTGTGTTGCACGGGGGCCTCGTTTATGATGGATGGTCATTTAATATAACTCAGCCTTTATGAACAGGTAGCTCATACTTACATGAACCCATTATTAGTAGTAGTAATCACCTCTTCACTTGCTAAAGGCTTACTAATCAGCCGTTTTAAAATCTTATCTAGAATTATTCTATATGTAACATCTGATGCTTCTGTTTCTAAAATCTGCTTATATTGTGTTTGGAAACAAGCCCAACAGTTGCCTATGCCAAGGCCTCCAATTTTCCCATTCTCTGCAGCTCCTCAGACGACATTGACAGTGGTTTCAGGTCACGGTGCTTCAGTGCTCTCGGATGCATATGCTTTCTTGCTATTTGCTCATCTATCCTGGCCTTTAGTTTCTTTTTATTCATGTTGATGAAGCACTTTCTAATTTGAAAAATCTTTCTCCTTTATTCAACAAATTTTTTTTTGAATGCCTACAATATGTCAGGCACTGTTCTAGGCCCTTGGAATATAGTAGTCAGCAAACAAGGTGTGTGTTCTCCTGGAGCTAACAGTCTCAGGTAGAGCAGTAACTAAATTATTCTGCTCTTTTTCAGTTGTGTTAATATAAATATATTTCTTGTTTGTTTGTTTTCTCTGAACATAGCCTAAAAAAACTTTTTATTCTTACTATATCCCTCAAACCTCAATTCTTTACTAGTCAATGCCTTTCTAACATTTCTCATAGATTTATTTACATGTGCTTTTGATATCCAAGCACTTGCTTAAGTGGCCCTGTTCCCCTCTTTTATTTAAGTGGCCCTGTTCCCCTTTTTCATTTTAAAATAATGACTTTATTATAGAACTTTGTATTTCTTTCCATAATTTCTTTAGCAGAACTGTTTGTCATTTATTCATTCAACAAATATTTATTGAGTCCCTACTCTATGCTGACCATATTATTGTACTGACAGAAATATTTTCGAGAACCTTCCATCTTTCTTGACATTTCTTTCAGGTCTTATGTCAGGGAATTGGTTACATCTTCATTGAACTTTTTGAAATCTGATTTCAGCATAGGACACATATGTGACCATTTTTAATGTTCTCTTTTTGGGCATTAAAAGAAGTTTAGACAACAGAATTACTTTCTTCCCAAGGTCCTGTCTTTCCGCCCCTCCTCCATTTCTAAAATATCAAGTCCAAAAGAGCAGTGCTGCTTTCCAGCAGCTGTATTGACAGTTTTAAGAATTTCTCCTCATTTAATATTTTTCTTACAGACATTAGGTTTAGATTTTTGATACACATTTTCAAATTTGTGAATAAATGTTATTTTCCTAATCTTATTGAGATTATATTAGAAATAAATATTTTCTTCTTTTTCAGCTCATTTGATCCCTTCCAACTGATACCTTGTAATTTTTTCAGTGAAGAAAAGCAGGTACTACTCATGCATCACTGAATGACCATAAATAATGCCCTCCTGTCAGACATAAAATACTTCTTTTTCAGTATGTGCAAGGCATTTATATGTGAAATAATGGGCAAGGCAGGGTGTATTAGGGGTCAGATGAGTGGTACAGATGGAAAAGGAGAGGGAATTGCTCTAGGCTAGGGTTTTAAACAGTATTTTTTTGAAGTTTGATTCTCACTGAGCTTTGGTTGGTGGTGATTTAGGTATGATAGGTAATGGAGAAAGGGGGCGGACATTCCAGTTAGGGAGAACAAAATCTCTATTTTTATGCTCCCCCATTTTTTTTGTTTTTTTGTTTTTTTTATATTTCAGGAGCCATTTCAGGTGAAAGTGGCTTCAGAAGCACTTTTAATAATGGATTTGGTAAGGATAATCTATTGTGTTTACTTAGTTATTCTGATTTCTATTCTTGTGTATTTTTATTGCAGGAATAAGAGAGAGTATGGAAGACCTGTATTTTGGATCTTAACTATCCTCTTTTACAAGGAATCTAAAAATAAGTCTTTTCTTTTGGAGAAAAGCCAAACAATTGCATGTTTCCATATTTTAGAGCAAATAAATTAATGTGAGTTTTTGCAGACTGTTTGTCATCATTAACCCTACTTTTATTTCCTAGTATCCTTTGTCTGCTGCCTTCTAGATAACAAAACACAACTCATTATTCGGAGTTTCCTGGTTTGCACTGAACTACTGAGAACTCCATAGTTGTGTGGTTTTTTTATGGTCTTTTCCTATAAGAGGTTCTAGAGTGATTTTTTTACTTTGTATCTTTATATCTTTCCTGAATAGGGAGAGCAGATGGTACCTTTGTTTTGTAAGTGAAGAAGTGGCATCATTGTTTGAATGCTGGGTTGAAAGCTTCTCAGCCAGCAGGGAATATAGGTCTGAAATCTTAAGACTATGCCCTGAGCCTAGCATCTAGTTCCTCTCACATGCTACTTTATATTAAAAAAGCATAATTACCATACTTGATAAGTGAGTTTTATTCTGATTTTTTTGTCAGGTGGTTTATTGGGGCTAAGTCTATCTTGTATTTCTTTCAGCATGCTCATGTGTCTATGGCAGAAGTGATTGGTCTGTTAGGAGGAAGATACTCAGAAGTTGATAAGATAGTTGAAGTAAGTTCTCAATTTTAAAGATTTTAAAAGTATTTTGTCCTGCTTCCAGACCAAATGTTTTTATAGTTAGCAGTGGGTATAATTAAAATATAGGCTTCACCTATGATATCAATGAGAACATGCAAATATGGAAAGTTACATATTCCCAAAAGTGACTTAACATTCCATATATTGAACACCTGTGTCCTTTTGCCATTGAGAAAGGGGAAACACTGCTGGGCCTTTGTTCCTCACTGCCTTCACCAGTGAAAAGCTACAGCTCCTATGAGGCCAAGAAGCATGTGCTAACCTTATAGTTGAAACTTGGTTTGCATCATTCTGTTGAAATTATTATCATAAGTAATAGAGGCCATTGAAAGAGTATGTTTATACAAGTATTACATGGGCTGACCTGGAAAATTAACAATTGTTATGACCTTGTTTAAGTACAAAGTGGATCCACACACTTTTGGAGTATGATTCATTTGCAAGTTAAAAGCTCCCTGTGATATAATCAAGTAAAAGGCTAGGCTTTAAAACGTTTCTGTATGTTTATATGAAAGAGCTAAAACATCAGAGTATAATAGGATTAACAGAATTTCAGTGTAATCATACAAGGATCGATCTTTTATAGGTCTGTGCAGCAGAGCCATGTAACAGTCTGAGTACAGGCCTGCAGTGTGAGATGGACCCTGTCTCCCAAACACAGGCCTCGGAGACCTTGGCTGTGAGAGGCTACAGTGTCATTGGATGGTATCATTCTCATCCTGCCTTCGATCCTAATCCTTCCCTACGAGATATTGATACTCAAGCCAAATACCAGGTGTGTTTCTAGGTCTTACACATATGTATGCTGTAAATGATTGCACATTCTCTCCCTCTCATTACTTTCTATTACATAAAAGTACTTTGAACATTTCTATTGAAGTATTGTATTTCTTTTATTTCTTTTTTTTAAGATTCTTATTTATTTATTTTTAGTGAGAAGGGAAGGGAGGGAGAAAGAGAGGGAGAGAAACATCCATGTGTGCTTGCCTCTCACGTGGCTCCCACTGGGGACCTGGCCTGCAACCCAGGCATGTGCCCTGACTGGGAATCGAACCAGCGACCCTTTGGTTCGCAGCCCGTGCTCAATCCACGAGCTATGCCATCCAGGGCCGAAGTGTTGTATTTTTTATAATCTTTACATCTGGAGTTTTTAAATAACTTGCATTTTTTCTGATTATAAGAGTAATACATGTTTATTTAAAAATTTGGAAATCAGCTTCCTGTTTCATGCAGATAAGCCATCAAAGTAACAATGATAATTGTTCCCAGAGCCTTTAAAAATTGATGGGAACAATTAGGACAAGGAGTGGGAATAATTGAAATAATCAGAAATATAAGATATATTTTGCATCTGTGAGAAATAGTTTTGTTTTATTCTGCAATTTTATGTTTGATATGTGACTGTTTTTACTGTAGGCAGCTGTTTATAAATTATTAACATATTGAGAAAGATTGTAGTTGATGGATTATGAGTATAATTAGTAAATATATTCATAGCAAATACAGATTTATTTTTAAGTTTGGGTTGAACACATTTTGGCCTGAATAATTTAGAGTGTGGAATGAATATATAAGACATTTCATTTAGTTGCTATTTGTATGTGAAACTTTAACACCTTTTTGTTCCTTCTTTCTCCATTAGCTGTTTAAAATGTTGGTATGGATAAACATTGACTTTTAAATTTATGTTGTTGAAACTAATTATACTGTACTTTTCATTGTAGAGTTACTTCTCCAGAGGTGGTGCAAAGTTCATTGGAATGATTATTAGTCCCTATAATCGAAACAATCCTTTACCTTATTCCCAGATTACCTGCCTGGTTATAAGTGATGAAATTAGCCCAGATGGCTCTTACCGTAAGTTTCCAACAAAAACGTCACCCCATTTCTGTCATCATGTCTTGGAATCTTACAAATCAAAGAATTCACAGCTTTACAGAACTATTCTATGGAAGAGTTTGTGCCTTGACTGGGCAGTCACTATTTGCATGCCACATAGTGCAACCCACCCTCCCCTCCTCCCCACACCCCGCCCTATTCCCTTTTATGATATCCTTCAAGGTTCAAGTCCCTGCTGTGTTACTACAGCCACTGGACAAAGTGAGAGTGTGGAGAGGGGTTGTGGCCAGGCAGTGTGTGTGTGAGGTACTGAAGACACTGCAGTAAGCAATATCAATGCAGGCTGGCTTCTCTGAGAGGGCATACAAGTGAAAAGAGAAAAAGAAAATGACTACCCAACTATCAGGCTCTCCATGGCCTCTTAGTTTAGGCTTCACAGTGCGTGTTTTTTTGTCTCTTAGCTTCCATTCTATTCCACAAAGAATTTTGTTGGTTTAGCTCATCGTATGACTTGGCTCCTTTGGGATTTATGTCTACTTGTGGTCCAGTCAACTCTGGCCGGGAATTAGTGTAGCAGCCTAGAGAACGGAAGAGTGGATAGAAGGGAGGTGATTGGAAGAAACAGTTGTCATCTTTAGGATGTTTGTTCTCTCTTCTTTAGCCTTTCTACCACTGCTCTAGTTTACCGTGCTCTCTGCATACTGTTACTCACTGCACATTGTACTCTTCCCCATTAGCTCATGAGCTCCTTGACGATAGATGTTATTACATTATATTCATTTTTCTATCCTCAGATTCTAACACAAGCCTAGCATAAAGTAGGTGCCAAGTGAACGTTCATTGAGTTAATTTCTCTTTATTCCTAATGATGTCACTCAGCTGCCCTCTCTTTGATAAAGATTTTCCAGCACTACCTCCTTGTCATTTACTATTAGTTGCTCTGTTCTTTGTGTATCTGCTGTACTTACTTCCTGTCTTCATGGCCACTTTGTCCTGGTAATTTGTCTTGGTAAATGGGCATTTATCTGTTTGGCATATCTCACTAAACTGTGCACCCCGAAGAGCAGGGGCTGTCTTCTTTGTCAGTGTATCTCTAGAAGTACTTAATTAGTTGCCTTCCACCTAGGAAATGATCTCCACTCTGTAGATTTTTGTTGAATGAATACTACTGGCATTAACTTGAGTTCAGAATGCCCATAGTACATATATACATCATTCTTTAGCAAGTATAATTTTACAGAAAAGTTACAGAAGAAGGAACCACAATTCACTTGTTCCCAATTTAAATATAATTTCTTAATCTCAATCTGCTAGATTATGGGCGTGAACTCTGATGCTGTTCAATACAGTAGCTACAAGCCACATGTGACCATTTAACCTGTTTCAGCCTCAGTTTTCTCATCTGTTAAATAGGAATAATGCTGCCTACCTTATAACATCGTTGTAAACCTTAATAACCCATGTTTTAAAAAAATCACTAGAATGGAATATGTCTTGGTTTGATTGGGTCAGTCTCAGTTTAAGCCTGTTGTTTTGCCTCAATTATTAATAGTGCCCCCATTTACTCAAAAAGTCTCTTAGTTTGGATAGTAAATTATGTGATCATTTTACTTCCCATAGCCTCTTACATAGAATTGTCACACAAATGACACTTTCACGTTTGTTTATTATTGTTATTATTAATTGCTTGGCATTAATATGCTTGGTGAACCAAGTTGAGTCAGGCTATAAATATTTAATTAACTCCCACTATGTTAAAGTGCTGTTCAGCTGGTTTGCTAAGTAGTGGTTGTGGAAAGAGGGAAGGGAATTTTAAGTAATTAAAAGGAGATTAGAGATTTAAGAAATAGTCGATGACAGTATGCTTCTCTATGCTTTTATAGGTTTACCTTACAAATTTGAAGTACAACAGATGTTAGAAGAACCTCAGTGGGGATTAGTGTTTGAAAAGACAAGATGGATAATAGAAAAATACAAGCTTTCCCGTAGGTATGTGCTGTGGTTTGAGATGTGGTTGCACATCTCTAGAGTTTCTCATTAAATTGTTTTAGAGAAAACCCAAGTTAAATATAAAATTGTGATGTATGGCATCAGGAGTAGTTTATTGCAGAACTGATTAGTTTATAGTATTTGTTTCATCAGTTTGTTTTCCTGTTCCCTCCAACAGCAGTGTCCCTATGGGTAAAATCTTTCGCCGGGATTCTGACCTGACTTGTTTGCAAAAAGTAAGCTGCCTTCATTTTAATTGGTTCCTTTGTTCACGGATTCTAAGGCTATTCATCTCGATGTGTTTTCCCGTGATGCCTGATGCTTTGTGGATACATTTTCTGTTTATTTCTTTTATTGCCTTTTTTCTTTTTAAAATTAATTTCTAGGAGATAATTAGTTATCTGTTTTGTTGCCTACACTTGCTTATAGAAATAATACTATTTTAGAATAAATTTGTCAGTATTGGCTGATAAATTTCTTAGCAGATTATTATTGTACATAATGGAGAACATTTTTCTCATTTTATTAAACTCAAAAGCACCGTGTTTCCATTTAGCTTTAACAATTGATCATTTTTAAGAATGGTATTATAAATCTAACAATTAAATTTAAATGATCACCTTACTTTCTGGTAGGAAATAACACTCCTGAATTCTTTTATTTCAATTCTAGTTTTGTTTATGAGTGTAATGAGTTAAGACCACTAGGCTGGCAACATTTCTTTCTCTCTCTCCCTCTCTCTGTAGCAGTTTGGAAAGAGAAAGTATAAACATACCAAGTTTCTTTTTAATATTTTACTTCCTTCTATTATAGCCACTTTATCTTTGTTTGGTTGGAAGATTAATGTGCACATTTCCCAGGAAATAAATAGACCCTAGCATCCTAATTTTGAAATGGTAGAGTCCTGTGTTTATATATATAGAGATTTTTTTTATCCTACAAAATCTTTTGCTTTATAAATGTAATTACTTGAAAAAAGGAGCACAGTCACAAATTTGTCCCAAATAGAAAGCATCACATGCTTATGCAATCTCAGGTTTGTTTCCTTACATAAATCATAAAGGAACTAACCTAAGCATCCAGCAGTGGCTTCCTGTACTCCAGCTATACAGTTATTGCACTCAAGTTTACCTTCAGCCATATTTACAAAGAATGTTTCTCATTTGTGCACTAGAAAAATATAAGCGTTCTTGTACTTTTCATGTGTTAAAATTTAAAACTTTTCTTTTCATCTAGCTTTTGGAGTGTCTGAGGAAAACTCTAAGCAAAGTGACAAATCGCTTCATTGCTGAAGAATTCTTGACTCAAATAGAAAATTTATTTCTTTCCAGTTATAAAAGCAAGCAGGGGAATGGAGTAGCTGAAGAGAACTGTGCTGTGGGTTCGAAGGAATTGTTGCTGTAATGATTTCAAAGTATGACATTTTAATCTTGACACAATAGATCCTACTGTCATGTATAACCTTGAAATTATTGTAATTTAGTTAGCAGTAGCACAGCTTTGATGTTTTTTCTCTAATTCACAAAATCTGAACTTTGCCACATAAACCACGTGACAAAAAAGAAGGGACATGTTTGCACACAGCGCCACTGTGGCCTGCCGCTGCACCCAGTCCTGCGCGTGGTGGCCAGTGGGCGGCGCTGCGGGCACTGAAGGACCGCCCACTTCACTGTTGTCTTCGGGTTGATGAGTGAGATCTGCCTCTGGTTTTTATTTCTCCCCCAACTGGACATTCCATTTTTTCTATCTCTCCCGTCCTTTCCGTGTGTTTTGATGAGATGTGTTTATTGTTGCAAATGAGAAATGGATGGGTGGTCCCTGAGGCAATTAACATGGCTGAGAACTACTGATTTAGTAAATCTAACAACGTGCTGTGTGAGGCAGGGGAGGCATAAGGGAAAAACCTGAAAAACAGAGAGGAGACCCAAATGAGAGAATCAAATTGCTGATTTTTTAATCATAGATACTTGCTTCCATTTTATTTTAGAGCAACAATACTACAGGATATGTGATTTTCTCAGTTATCTGAAACGTTTTATATGGATTTCAGATGCATAAAATAATTAGTTTTAATTGTATGCCCCTTTACATTAGTGTATAGATGATAAAACCTCACTTAACTGCAGCACAGGTCATCAGCACCCTCAAACTAGGTTTTTTCTACTACCTGCTATCAGTAGAAAGAGGCAAATTGCAGTAAAGCTTAAATAAATCAGAGATTTAATTTTAAAACAAAGCCTTCCACAACATACTACATATGCAGCCCAGTTTTATATACTTTCTAAATCTGGAACAGAAGTCAGCAAACTGTGTAAAGGGGCAGCCAGTCAGTAACTTCGGCTTTGCAGGACACACACAGTCTCTGTCTGATGGGTTTCATATTTTTTTACAACCCTTTAAAAATGTAAAATCATTCTTAACTCATAAGCCTCACAAAACACATTGCTGGCCATTATCCTCTAACCCCTGCTCTACAGAATTGTAAATAATTAGAATTTATCTTCAGATGGATGAGCCTGAGACACTGAAAGATATTTCATCATTTTCAAACAACAAAACACAGATTTATGATTTATTACATTTAGGTACATTGTCAAAACAATTATGCTGCCTGATTTATCTTAACAGATTGTAGTTTATTAACCACTGAATTAATTTATACCCATTCTCCAAGCATTCTTATTAATAACAGGTTTATTGTATCTAATCTGGGTATTCTGTGTTTTTACCTTTTTTGGTTAATCCATAGCCAAGGAAGAATACGGCAGTATTAGAAGGCTCGGTGAGCTAGTTTTAAATGACCTGGGTATGGACTCAACCTTGTGACTTTGGGGGATAAGCTTACCTTCTTCGGACCTAAATCTTTTGTCTCTGGGGTCTCAGTTATCTTTCTAGCATCCTTCTGGGTCTGAATTCTTACACTTCATTCTAATTGTTGGACCACTCACCTGGGACTTTGTATTTTGAGATGGTACAGTTCCCAAATTAGCAAATGTTTTCAAAGAAAACTGGTAGTATTTTCCATTTCTCTATATGCATTTAGGATAAAAAACATAACATAACTTATAAAGCAGTTACTTGTGGGACCAGGGTTATAAGAGCTCTGGACCAAAAATCAGGAAACCTGAGAGTTCTTATCCAGTTCTGTTACCAGCTTTGCTGTGTTACAGTGATAAAAAACTACATAACCTGTCTGGACCTCGTCTATAATTCAGTGGTCTAAATTTTGTGTGTAGTATTTCTTTCCAAGGGCAGAAAATCTCTGATTCTATACAAGGTAGTAATTCATTTCTTTGTACTCTTCTTTTTGACATATTTTCTTCATTATACATTGGAAACAGATCCTAGAAAATGTTATTAACTAGCTTTTGTGATTGAAATTTCCCTATGATATTGATAAGTTTGAGTGATGGAAAATAGTGGAAATGTGGAAATTGTTAGAAGTTCTGTTCTTAAACCTGGTTCCCCTGCATGCCATTGGTTAACTATATTTACTAAGCCATACTCTGAGGAGCTCAAAGATGGTAATTCTCAATTTAAAGCTTTAAAAGCACAATTTTTAAAATAAAATGTTTTTTTAAAGACAGAAGCATAAAAATATCTCAATCCTACTATCTAGAAAACCAGGGCTAACGTTTTAGTATAAATCCTTCCCCCGTGTAAGTGTAGGACATTAAAAGCTGTGATATCTGCTCCCCTCCTCCTTAGTTCTCTCTGCTTCCTTTCCTTCTCTTAGCATATTGAACTAGTTTCAAAACTGCAGGCGCCCACATTTCTGTCACTGCCAACCCTGGGCTACTGAGGGGAGTTGAAGCAGGCAGGTCCTAGGGGAAACTCTGAGGAAGTCTAAAACGGAATGGCAGCGTGGTCAGTTCAGGAGGCAGGATCTCAAAGGGAAACCTACCTCTCGTGATGTTTACAGTATGGGAGATGGGGAAATCTAATCCTGAGGTAACATTCAAACAAGGGAAAATCAGTGGAACAGGATCAGCAAAATCAGGCTCTCCTTTCCTCTCCATTGTTCTACCCGGGGCCCTCGGCCCTGTGTTCGCAGCCTCATTATGACGTTCAGGGCTCTAGACACTTGTCCTCTTGGACCTCTTCTTCCATTAAAAATTAATACATTATCATTGCACTTGTATAAAGTCAATATAGTATTATCTATAAATATGTCCTTCAATCTAAAAGAGTTTTTTTTTTTTCTGAATTTCAAGGAAATTAAAACATTTTCATTGGCCTGAGACAGGATGCCTAATTGGATGAATTGGCCCTGAAGGCTGTCCTTAGAAAAAATGTGAGTCACTGTCCGTCCCCTGCAAAACCCGTCTCATAAACCGTGGTGTAGCTTAGTCGCTCCAGCCAAAGACACGAGAGTTCCTGCAGCCTTGTCTTCAGACGTGAACATAGTTCTGAAACTCAGCAGTACTGCTGGGACCGTTCATCCTCAAAAAAGAGATAGGCAGCAGCAGGTAGTTTTAATTTTCAGGTAGACATTTTCCGATCCTTAGTCTGTAGTTTCAAAACTCATCAATATATCCTAGCAATTTTTCTCCATTTCCCTCAAGCCCTTTTTTCATCCCCACTTGCTCTGCTTCTTACAATGTAAGCCTAAGGTCATTCATTCTATCATTTGTTGAAAGTAGGACCTGAAGAACAGAGATGAACACACCCATTAGTATTTCCCAGAAGCTGATTAATGCTGCCCCAGCCTTCTCTCTGTAATTTTCCTCCTCATAGGAGTGGGGTGAGGTCTGTGATGGGCAGACTGGAAGTGGGACCAGAGCTTCTATAGCTCTCTGGGCAGCAGAAGAGACTGGCTTCAGTGTGCCAACCTGAGCAGCTTCCTGTGTGTCTTGCTGCACCTAACAAGGTGAGCTGTAGGACCTGAAGGAACTGATAGTCAGGATGCCCTGGGATTGATGCTTTGCCTTGCACCTGTGTAAGAGCCGTATGACACCTGAACACCTGAAATGTAGCTCCCTGTCCTCAGGTCATCAGCAGATGTCCAGTTGACAGATTTCTCAGTAGGAATTAAGTCAGGATACTCAAATTTTTTATTTTTTATTTTTTATTTACACTTCTACCAATGGCTAGAGTCTAACTCTGGAGTCACACTAAAGCAGTAAGGAAAACTTACTTCACTCAAGCACAAAGAAGAAAAGCACATACATTTTTATCATCCCTTCCATCAGGGTTAATGTACAAATTAAACAAATTTGATCTGCTCTCCAGTTTACCAGGAGTTTAATAATTTTCTTACAAATTAATACCAGATTTTGCAGTGTTTCCAGAAAGTCACTGTGAAGAATAATGTAACATATTTAATTCCTTTTCTTAGGAATTTAAGAAAAGAAAAACCTTTTCCTAAATGGTTTTATGTATGCCGTTTCTCCAAACGATTCTCTCTTTCTCGCCCTCTCATCCCTCTCTCTCCCTCCCCTTCACCCCCTCTCATTTGAACTGTAATTTGTGGTTTCTGATATTTTTCTAATCTTTAAGTCACTTTAAATCCTTTCTAGAACAAGATGGAGAAGTATGGTTCCTCCCAGCCCCAATTAATTAACTCTTGATATCTTCTTGTTTTTATTTTCTTCCTTTGAATATATTTATGAATACATTCATAAGGACTGTAATTTCAGGGGGAAATGCCTGATTTGCTATCTTTGAGGTTTCCTAAAGTAGTCTCTTAGGAATTAAGAAGGATGTTAAATATGATTTCATAGTTTGTATTCCTGTTTCATGGGGTACAACAATATTTTTTCAACCTATTATAAAATAATATTTAGATTCTAGCATGACTTAAGTAGATTACTTAAATATATCTTTAAATTTATGAATTGACATGTAAATTGTATATTTTGTATAAGTTTACTGTGATTATTGATAAACCTGTTGCTGGTTTCCCCAAATGTTATCAGTGTTTGTAGATTTCTTTTTATTTGAATTTTTGAATGTTCTGTAACAAAATATGATTTAAGCTATTTTGTACATTTAAATGATACCATGTTGTCTATATCTGTATTAAGGAATATTGTGGATATTAATGTTCATACAATTATGAAAGCTTTTTCTCAAAATGATTGAACTCTCTTCCCTATACTTAACTGTGACATATTATAAAATATATGATTTTAAACTTTGGGATTTATCTTGTAAAAATTAAAGGGAAACATTCTGAAGATTCTATATAAAGTTTTGAAAATAAAGCAGTAAATAATTTTGTCTCTTTCTAACTTATTAGCATCATACACATTGAATGGCAGAAATGTCCCATTTACTACAGCATACCTTGCTTGAGCATCTGTTACGTGAGCGTTGCAGGGGGCACACTGGTACATGAATCTTGGTTTCTTCTCATGAGAAGCCTGTTACGTAATAAGTGGGAGACACACAAAACTTGACATAGATAGCTAAGACTCTAAGACACAAACTGGAAGTGATTACAAGTGCCTATAAAAGACTTCAAGGATAATAGGTGTTTAGACAAATGAGAAGTGATTCTCTAAAATGTGAGCACTGATACTGATTTCTTGGAAGAGATCATCCTTAAATAGCCAGGAAGGGTTTGGGTAGGTGATGTGTGGGGGAAGGTGTTCCAGAAAGAAGTGATCCAGCACTGGGGCCATGGAGGTGAGGAATGAGAAATCGAATTTGGGGCCAGAGGGTAAATAGACTATGTGAAGATGTTAATTATGAAGATAATTCACCTTTACTCAACTAAAGATACAGAAAGTACAAAGAGAAAAATCTCACCTCAGAATTAACTCATTAGTCTTTAAATAAAGGGTCATTACTCACAAACACAAGGTCCATCTGTAAAGTATCCAGCCATGTGCTATGAAAAATACACTTATTGAAGAAAGTACAAGAAACATTGTACATAGGGCAATGACACTTCAATCCCCTTCAGAGTAGGCACCTTGGGACCTCAGTCACCATCAGCTGTCTTGTATTTTCCTGAATCTTATCAAAGTTCTGAAATACCTTCCGTTTCAAAGGTGACTAGTTTTGGGAAAAGCCAGAAGTTGCAGGCGCCAAATCTGGGCTATAGGGGGGCTGGGTTCCCTGGGTGGTTTGGTGTTTTGCCAAAAAAACTGCAAGATATGTGATGCATGAGCAGGTGCATTGTCATGATGAAGCTGCCAATCACCAGTTGCCAATAGCTGCGGCCTTCTCAATCATTGAATGGTTACCATGCAGGAACATTCAAGCTTAACAAATTTTGATGCAGATTTATTGCTCTACTCGCTCAGCCATTTTGAATGTGACAGCCACACAGCACACGTGGTCAATGGCAGCTACCACCCCCACAGACCAGTACAGTGAAGTCCTTGTTCATGCATGCACATTCCAGTCCACTCTTGGCTGCCAGATTACATCGATATGCAAATTGTTCTCATTGTGTTTACAATGGCTGGACTTTTTCCAGACTCTGTGTATATGTATACATATACACATATGTATATATCTTTAATTTCTGTCTTCATTGAGGACTTCATAGCAGCATATAAACATGTATTTGCAAGAGGTACCTAGCACATTCTGTAGTACATATTTGCATAATTGATCAGTTTTTAATTGACCTTTAGGTTCCCATTTTTCTATGCAAAATGGACCTGTTTGTGTGCACTGCTGCTATTTCTCTGAATAGATTACTTGGAGCTTAGTTGCTACATCAAGATCTATGTACCCTTTTAATTTGGTTAATATCTGCAGAACATTTTTCAGTGTAAGTTAATTTTCCTCATAGTAATACAGCCGTGTACATCTCATTTACAGAACCAATTTGAACTCAAGCTCCTAAATGATGATTTAGGTGGCAAAGTACAATGAAACCTTAAGAATTCTAATTCCACAAGGTATTTGTTTCATTGGACGTTCATTTCTCTATACAGTTGTTATGGGTTCTTGCTAAGCATTTGCTATAATTTCCTGATTGTAGCCAGTATCATACTCTGCCTGTGGCTCCAGACCAGCATTGTCTCACAATCCTGTGTTTACTGTAATGGGTTTCTCTTAGTGTTGCTGATGTGTTTCTACATCACTGACTCTCAGTTATCTTCCCGTACAATGCTAGCTTAAAATATTGTCAGTATCAGCAGATATAGCCAAATAAAACTTTTGTCTTCCATGTTTTTCCTGCAATCAAAATCAATTTAACTTTTTTTTTTAAATTCTCACTGAGGATATGTTTATTGATTACAGAGAGAGAAACATCGATGCAAGAGAGAAATTGGTTGGTTGCCTCCTGGACAGGCCCTGACCAGGGATCAAACCCGCAACTTAGGTGTGTGCCCTGACGGGATCAAACGTGCAGCCTTTCAGTGCATGGGACAATGCTCTAACTAACTGAGCCACCCGGCCAGGGCTCAAAAACAATTTCTTATTGGTAACAAATATCTGTTACTGGATATAATCAGTGACTCCTCCTGCACTTTCTCCCGTTAACAAGGTCACCTCAAAATGTAGAATTAGAGTTTCAGAAAGCAAGTTAAATGCTTAGATTATTTTATCTATCGGCACCAGTGATTGCTGAGCTTTCTGTTCCAAAATATCTGATAAACATGGCTCAGTAATAATTGTGGCATTTATACCCCTTAATAGCCAGGAGATTGTCTACATTAGACTCCATTTATGTAACAGAATTTAATAGTTTAAAGGAAATTTTGGTAAGACCTTTTCCAGAGCAACTATTTTCTTAATCATAAGACATAATGAGTAGGCTAATCTTACTCCCACCCACACCCACCTTCCAGGGGGAAAAATGATTTGCTTTTATGAGATCAGTTTGCTTTTACACAATGCCTCAAATTGGATTCCAGCTTATGGAGTTAGTATGTCAGCATAATTAAAGTTAGCTGCTATAACAAACCACCCCTAATTCTTAGTGCCTTACCACAGTGAAAGTTCTCACGCACACAAAGTCCATTGCAGGTGTTCTGATTGGGTGGATGTCCTGGGCAGACAGTCTCCAATAGATAATGCAGATACCCAGGTTCCTCTCACGTGGCTCTGCCATCTTGTGACTCCAAGTAGCCTGAGTGTCACCCTTTCAAGGACAAGGTGAAGGAGAAAGAATGGAGGATTATACACTTGATATTTCACTATCTTGACTTAGAAGTAATACACACATCGTTTTTGCTCATAGCCCTTTGTCAAGAACGAGTCATATGATTCCACCCATATGCAAAGAGGGGCTGTTTAATGGAGTCCTAATTGGGCAGTTGCTTCTCTGCAAAACTCTTCACTATGGAAGGAGAACATGAACCTTTGTTAGTGACTAGCCTTCCCTGTTGGAGCTGGCTAGGGCTGGTTTTGTAAAATGTTATAAACTCATCTTCAAATGGGCTTTAAACTTCTGTGCGTGAGACCCCAAGCTTATAATGAAAAGTTGATACCAAGTTTCTTTGGAGGCAGAGCCCTAAAATTAAAAAACAAGAGGATAATTTCCCCCCATCAAATCAAAGAATCTCAGAGCTGGAAAGGACCTATGCTTAGAGTCCTATATTCTAATGTGAGGAAACTGAGGGCCATAGAAATAAGCAACTTGCCGGTTCCACACAGCCAAGTCTGGGGCAAGGTAACCTCTAGAAACCCTCCAGCCCTGCTACTGCACCTCCTTTTGAGTGATCCCAATTTATTTTCAGTTTCACCGAGTAAAGAACTAATCTGGGGATTTTATGTGCAATTCAAATGTTCAGTTTAATTTATGTTTTCATTTAAAATGTAATTTTGTCTTTTAGAACTGCAAGATCTAATAAATGCCCAGAGCATGACTTATGAAAAAGTTGACTAAGGAATTACTATTACAAGTGATGTAATTAATGGCACCTTACTAGCTTTATCTAAGATTAGCTTTATTAGCTTTATCTAAGATTAACAAACCTCCAAATCCTTGCTGTTTGCTTATAAATCCACAAAGCTACATTTGTTCTTCAATCATCTCAATGGAAGTGTTAGTACCTAAAGCCAGTAGGGGGCGCTCCATCACAGTGTATGAGGACAATAGTCTCAGCCCATAATGCTACCTGGTTTAACAAAATCAGAAAAGATTGCACAAAAGGCTGAATTTGTAAACACTGTAAAACATTCAGTTGTCTAGTTCTTTGACATTGTGTGATTGAAGGGTGAGTTTCCTTATTTCATGGTCTCTCCAGGCTAGCCATTTTCCATTTTGAAGCTATTTTGTAAGAAAAGCATCCATCCATTTATAGATACGTACAGTGCTAAATGCTTACATATATTAAGTATGTAATCCCCAAAAACCTTGCAAGAGGTTTTATTATCCCCATTTTAAATTTAGCCTTAGAGTGTTTAAGTACTTTATTCAAGGTCATGCAGCCAGAAATGGCAGAGACAATTCAAACTGAGGACTGTATGATTTTCAGATCAGTTCACCAAACTATTGTGTTATTGGTTTCAGAGCTGGGAAGGACCTAAGGAACAATCGAGTTCAATATTCTCACTTTGGGGTGTGAGAACTGATACCCAGATAGAAGTGACTTGGCCACATCAAGGCCAAATTGTAGAATCAAAGTCTTCCCATGGCCGGTGCTCCTCGATTACACCTCTGGGGGTTCTCCGCCTTCTCTAGGCAAAGAAATCCTGTGCTCCAGGTTCTGCACTACACTATACCCCGACACAGAAGATGAAGCCATGGGCTTGTTAGTCTGTTACCTAGACAATAGGAGAAATGGACTTTATGGATAGAAATTTTGCTCCAACATGGTTCTCTGTCTTTCCATTATGGCCAAGCCCAAGAGAAGTGAACTCATAGGAACACTTCACACTTTCAAAAGTAACTAATCTCTCTGCCTTTAACAGGTGCCGCCCTTTCCTCATCCTCTACACTGCAGCCAGAGAGATTGCTTTAATGAAGCACAAACCTAAGCATATCACTTCGCTGCTTAAAACTCTTCAAGTGCTCACCACACTTTCTGCACCAAGTCCAACATGGAAGCTTGGGAGACCAGCTTCCATTCTCTAGTCTCACCTCTTGCCGATTCTCCTCCCCACTCTATCACACACACACATGCCGCCCTCTTGGGTGAACCTAAACACATGCAGCCCCACCCCTGCAGGTCTACATGCACCTTTCCCTGTGCACAGACACATTGCCTGCTCCCACCACTGTCTTCTGTCTACGCCACCTTCAAAATTCAAACATCACTCCTACCCAGGGGCCTACCTTGCCTCTCCACTCTGCTCCAAGACTGGGCTTG